TCTTCTCGTATGAATTCTATCATTTTGTAAATATTTGTTTGCCTAAGGTGATAATTTACATTTAATTATAGCCATAATTGATTTTATTATTACCATTATGCATTAAAAGCACCAAGACTATTCCCATTGACAAAATTAATTAGAAATCAATATCACATTGTTATTTCGTCATTAATTCTTGGACGATTATATTTAAGCCTTTTCATTTTACGACAATACCTTTATCAAGACTCGCGTACGTGAAATATTTTTTTCTCTTTAAATATCCAATAGCTTCATGTGAGAATTCAATTGTATTGCTAATGATCAAACATAAAGTGTCAAATGTCCATTAAAATTACATCAAAGTTTAAAGTTTAAAGGTAAGGTTATAATGGATATCGATTTCGATTACATTCCTATCGATACTTTGATTTTCAAATGTCAACGAGTGCGCATTACGGGCTCACTATCTAATTACACGATTGGTAGTTTGCAAAAATGTCGACTGAACACGATCGAGGCAAAGATATAAGCAGATAATGGGATGGGGGAGCTTGCCTTCGATTCTGGTACCACGTCTTGACCTGCGTCTCCGAGAGAGAGAGCGCGTCGGCCACGTCGCTCCTATCGGCGACGCTCAGGTACTTCTGACAGCGGAACTTCCTCTCGAGATAGGCGAGTTGAGCATGAGTGAACGCCGTCCGCCTCCTCCGGGGCTTCCTGCCGCCGTTGGTCGTGGCGCCCGAGGGCGCGCACGACTTGCCGCCACCGCCGGAGGTCGCCGAGCCCGGGGATGGACTGCTGAGCCTCGTGCAAGGGCTGCTGCCTGGGTCGATCGTGTCCTCCGAGTCCGAGTGCACAGCCGAGTCATCCTCCGAGTCATCTGAAGGGACGATCGAGCGTAACACGTTCGCTTATCGTCTATCACTCTTGTCTCGTACTCTCTTTAGTTGATAAAAGATTTGCGCGGTTCTCGGATTCAGATATTTGGCCAGGCTTAGTAAATGGACCGACAGTAATCGAACGACCGAGAATTTTCACTCATATTTACTCAGCCCCCAATGAACATTGTAAATATAAACGTAGAGAACTACAACGATCCGCGTGTTTTAGTGACATTACATGAACGGGACTGCGGTATAAGTTGCCAAGTATTGCCGTGAGCGTGGCAATTTAATAGCGGTGAAGCTGAGTGAATGTCAGAATCACGCAGGATTTAACGAATATCCAATACTCAACATGTGCGATAGATTTAATTTGACGTGAAATTCGGATTGTAACGAGCTGGGGTCAACATCGGCCCAATACGAGCGCTACATAGTCGACAACTGGTCGAAAATTAACGAACGGAAAACCTGCTTCAAAACTGCCAAATCCTCACGCGAAAATTGGCTTTCCGCGCACAATGCGTAAACGGCTCTCGGAATTCTCGCCCAGTGGGTGGCGCTCGTTCCGCTTAGCAAATCGAGCGACTAACGAGCGCCACTGCCGGAACAATCCGCGGGCCATCTGCCTTCCCGAGTGCAGCCGCCTAACGATGATGTCCCGCGGACACCCCTTTTGCGGTTCTGTGTTTAATGGTTTTATCGATTGCGTGCGTGCGTGCGTGCGTGCAGCCTCGATTATCCGACTCGGAAACACGCGCCTCGTGAGAAGGGCAGGTGGGCAACTCGGGCGCGTGGCTCGCACCGCCTCTGCGCCTATTGTGCCCCGCTATAGTGAATAGTGAATCCAGAGAGTGTGTGTGAGAGAGAGAGAGAGAGAGAGAGAGGGGGGGGGGGTTGCATTCAGCGGTTTGGGATGCACGATCTACTCCCGTACTTTATGCCTTCTCCATATGATTCGCTCGCTCCTACTTAATCCTCGTTTGTCCTCGCCTTTCTCGCGCACTCACGTGTACCCGCGTCGATTCGAATTTACAGCGCCAATTAAACGGAAGAAGCAAACGTCTTTTATATTTAAGACTCTGGTCTTTGTTAAATTTACTCGTGCAACGAAATTCAATTTATTGCCAGGCATCCACTTTCGTTGAGTATCTCGTGATTTATAAGTCTCGCGGTGACCGTACTAATTTGGTGGTGGTACACCGTGGTAATTTATCGATCGATAAATCGATCGATCGGCAATTCTTCGACATAAAATGTAGCTATATGCAGTTTCATTCGTCTAGTCGGTATTGTAACTATTGCGTTGCGCACGCGCGCGTGCGTGTGCGTGTTTGTGCGTGTGCGCGCGCTTCTATCGATCGATTGATTCGATTAAAGGCACGGGTATGAAAGTGCAAGGAGTAACGAGTACTTCGGTAATTTGGCTGTCAAACGTTGTTAAAAGCAACGCTTCGAGATCGGCCGTGAACGAATTTGCCAATCGTCGATGAGCATCGATCGATCGATCGTCGTCTTATGCGGGCGAATAATCACCTTGAACGCGATGATCCAGCACGTCACCAAGCAGATCTCGAATGAGGAAAGACTTGTGCTCCTGCATAATGCCAATGTCCTCCCGCCGCCGTGAAAGCCTTCGCCGAGGTGGGCGAATAAGTCCTTGCTGCTCGATAACGGCCTCGTCTTTAGAGTCGCACGAGCTCGCTTGCACTCGCGGCGGCTACGGTCCGCCGATCCGATCGCAACGCGGCAATTCGTCCGTGACACCGAGGCCCGTGGATACGACGAGAACCTCCCAAGAGGTCGTGGAGGCCAGCCCAGGGCGAGTGAGCGCGGTCCCTCCCGCGAGCATCGTACCAACGCGCTGACGACCGGCGTCGATCTGCTAGAAAACGGCCTCCGGAGCGAGGCGCGCGAGCGTATCGGCGCACCGCATCCACAGGCGGCCTCCCGAGCCTCCTCGACCACCCTTAATCCGCCCGTTCATTCCCGGTGCGGCGAGGCTCGCGCAGCCATTTTGGGGGTGGGAGCGCGCGCCCATTGGTCCACGGGACAACCACTGCAACCTCGGGGCTCCACGCCCTCTCCCTTCGCGGGGCTTCGGCGCTCGCACGGGATTCGCGGTCGTAGCGGAGGTTGAGCGAGAGATAGGCGACACGGTGCCGCGACCCGAGTCATTGCCGGTCGATTATCGCGATAACGAGCCGAGAACAAATTGAATGTGTAATGACGATCGTAGCCGGGGGCATCGAGTGCCCCGACGCCGGCTCGTGCTTTTCTTTCGCGCCCCCTCCCCCACGCCCTTTCTATATACGAACCTCCGCATTCTCTCCGTTTAAACATTTCCTCCCGCTCATAATTAGTTTTGCCTCTTTTTTTTTCCTTTCTTTTTTCTTTTTTTTCTTTCTTTCTTTCTTTTTTTTTTTTTTTTTTTTATCCACGGACTCGACTCATTTGCGAGCATTAAGGCCCTTCTACGCGAATTTCGTACGTCTTGAAATTCAATGGGAACGAAGTAGGACGCTCGTTATAAACCTTACATCTGTTGGCTCGCTCCACTTTAATTGCTAATGCACCTTCCAATATGTACATATACATATATTTCAGACTTTAATTACGTTGGATTTATATCGAACAGCTTTTGGCATATTAACTAGAACTACGTCAAATATCGAGATTTTTCACGATCGACCGCGTAAGCGAGCGCGTCATCGATCCGTATTATCATATCGCTATTTTCGCAACACGTGCAATGACTTTAATCGTTTATTACGACGAGTGCAAATTTGAGGGTGAGACAAATGGGGAGGGGTTGGCGGTATAAAGAGATGCCTCGTTACGTGTAAAAAGCAACGACGCACACAACATTTGCAAATAAAGGTGAACAAAACAATTCTCTGATAATTTTTCACATTCCAATTAAGTTGCCTTCGTTAATCCAACAAGAAAGAAAATTACACTCTCAAATCAGATTTTTTCGAGTTAGAATAAATTATTTACAAAAATTTTATTTTTTTTTATGTTTATCGAGGTATTACAAACTGAGACCGAGCATTGTCATATTTTGCATTACAATGATTCAACGAAACATTTCAAACCTTACATAGTTTCGATCCACATTCAACAAATATTACAAACTGAGACCGAGCATTGTCATATTTTGCATTACAATCATTCAACGAAACATTTCAAACCTTACATAGTTTCAAAGTTCTAAATCTTTCATTTCATTGGCTTTATCGAATAAATCATAATTGAATAAAGCCATTATAATTTGCTGAAATTAATTAACGCTGCTTAAGCGAGGGATATACGCGCCGCGTATACAGGCAACTGCACCGACGACTGTAATTTTCTGCGCATCTTAACTCGCTCCACATGTTTCACTTTTAATTATCACTAAGCACGTTAAATCGCGAATGAGCGAAGCTCCCTACCAACCCTTCGCTATACATTGTCCTTTCGCGGAGTGCTTTAAAATAAAATCCCGTAGGTTAATGCGGATAAGCCGGGGAGAGTGATCGCTAATTCATTAACATGGCAACGCACGGGCAAGAGCACGCGGCCTTCGATCGCGGGGCGCGAGTACGAAACCACGACTATGAAAAATAAAGCTTCACAAAGGCTTTCCCGAGATAATTGGCACTTGACATCGCCAAGTTTGCCTCTTCTCTTTTATCCCCGTTGCGCACGTTCGCGAAGCCACGAAACGAAAACTCGCTGCTTGCGCTTTAAGCTACGAAATACGTTTTCAGCACATTAAGGATAGGAGAAAGCTTAAGCCATCGGAAGTATATACGTTCGCGGGAAGCTAAAGATAACTGCATAAGTTTAGGTAGCAATTTCCAAGTAAATTGAAGCTCTCGTGCAGTGATTTTATGGATAGGGAAACGAATTTTACTACTCGATTAAGCGGCATTAATTTGCGAAATTTACATTTATCTCCAGTGCTTTTTAATTTTTATTTTTATTTTTGTTGTTCTTTTGTATTTAGTCGATTAACATTATAATTCTTTCACTTGAGCTCTGCGCGAGAAAGTGAAGATATTTCGTATAAATTCACCTTATTCGTAATAAAATTTCAGCACAAAACACTTATCTATCTAAAGCTAAAAATCTAATGAGAAACATCTCCTAATAATCATTGTCAATTAGTGATTTGAAAAATTCATTAGTTTTATTAAGAGAAGAATTATCTAATTTCATATGAAATTTATTAATTACGGAGAAAATTTTAATCGATTATACATTTATTCACCATCTCTTCTCTACCTCGTTCATGCACGACATATTGACAAAAAACTACTATTGCACATTGACTTACTTATTATTCAAAATCTGAATGATTGTAAATTATTGGTAAGCTCGCTTCAATCGGTACGATCATCAGAAAGTATATGTGTGTGCGTGTTTTTTTTTTCAAGTACTTTACTGAAAATTGCATACCATTCGTTAAGTACTAAAATTAACGAAACTTCGCTAATTAATAACCGATAGAGGACACGTGGGTGAATAATGAAATCCCTTAAACTCGCAAATACGCAACTATGCGTATACGTATCCATTAAAAGGTGAGCAATTTAACTTTTCCAAGGCTGCTCGAAGCGGAAGTCGTGGTGTCGCATAAGAAAAGAGATTGGGCCGATGCTTTATGCAACGCGGCGCAAGCCACTTGTACACGTAGTGTAACATCGACATCGGCCGGCGAGTTTTTCCTTTATTTATTTTGCTTTTGTTTTTGTTGTCCGGAGTGCTACACCCGTGCTAACGAGCGAACCTCGGATGAATATTTCAGCCCGAGCCCTCGGAATTTATTCGAGCCTCCGCATACACGGGGCATTAATTCAAGGGGGTGGCAAAGCGGCCAGACGTCTTCGCGAATAAACGCGAAGCGCACAACCGCGCAAAGTGGAGGAATACATTTGAATGATAACGAGGCGAAGCTCAGCGGAAGCTCTATCGCCTCTTCGTGAAAGTCCGCGCGGACTTCTCTGCGGTGTTTTACGTGCTTTTGAAAAGCAGATGCGAGGCTAATTCTTACGGGTTTCTTCGTTGCTTAAACTTTTCCAACCTAATACTAACACTACGTACGATAATGCTTACAAATTTATCTTTCTCAATAATCGATACTATTAATCGTCCTGGACTAAGAAATATATGTTTTTACTAGGCTTCACTTGTTCTAACAATCTCATATACTAAGACAATAAATCTTCACCTTGCGAATCTTCAAATCGATCATTTATTTCGTAAATGTTTTTTATAAATACCAATGTGGTTAGTAAATTCAAATAGAATTTCTGAAATTTCTATGCTTAATTCTCTTATATATAATACATAAATCTTAAGACTTATAACATAATCTTGAAGTATTTGAAATTTCGATCAATACTTTTTTAATATTAAAAAAAACCATGTACATATATGTATATAGAATTATTTAATTTTTAATCAAATAATCTATATTATAATAATGTATAATAATGTAAGAACAATATAAGATAACAACGTTAAAAATTATTATTATTATTATTATTATTATTATTATTATTATTATTATTGTTGTTATTAAAATTATTATATATCCATTAAAATCGGAATATTCACCGACAGTAATGATATTATAGATAGTTGCACCGTTTATTTATGTTACTATAATTGATTGGAGACGTGTGATAATTGAAATTTACATAACTTAACGAAAAATCTTTTTCCATGAAAGAATTATAAGACTCTTTTCAAAGTATATTCACGATTTTTTCGAGTTCTTTCAACTTTTAAGAAAATAATATTATAAAATTCAAGCAATAACAAAAAAAGTTAATAAAGATTTGTTATCATTTTAATACTTAAATATTTTTATTGGATAATTAAATTTATTGGATGTATTTTTATTAAATTATAGGTTATACAAGTATAAATATAATATATAAATATAATAACATTCATTCCATTCAACGCTAAATTCATTATTATTATTTTTATTTTATTATCTATTTAGTTTCTAAAATTGTAATTATCTTTTAAAACTTGATTTTTGTGTGTATGTGTGTACTTATATTATTACTATTACTATTATTATTATTGCTATTATTATTATTATCATTATTATTATTATTATTATTATTATTATTATTATTATTGTTATTTTATATTTTAAATATTTAATATTATTTCTTATAAATGAGCAGTTACAGTTGAACATAAAAAAATGAAGAAATATTTAGAAAAGGAATTCGAAGTATTTAATCTATTCAAGAAATTCAATGATAACTACTAAGTATATTATAAATAATAAAAAAAAAAAAAAAAAAAAAAAATAAAAAAATAAAAATAATAAGCAAGAAAAATATATTCCCTTCCGTGCTTTTAATAAATATTCTTTGATTTCTCATATTCATCGTACAGTAGCACACAAATCTAAAATACATGAAATTGTCTGCAATATACTGGAATTAATTTGAAAACGGTCATGGGCTATGTAATCATAGTCAATTTCTATGATTTATATGGTAATTATGGTAGCTCTTACATTGTATGCCTATACGGAAAAATGAGGCCTATGGTATACAACGAAGGAAATCGAAATCAATGAACAAAGCTTCGTGGGAGATTCGTTGACACCCTCGAGTAA